AGAGAAATGAAATTCGCGAAGTCTGGTTTCTAGACATCTTAATGCACCCTCCACTGGGACTTGGTGAATAATGATTTTACATCAAAAGAAACCATGAGTAAATTACTAGGAGAAATGTTTTTAACCTTTTTTTTCAAACTCTATTGAATTTTTTATGGTGTAAATGTTATTGTCTAATAGAGTGGAAAAATCTAGAAACTAAATATTTAGCTAAAGGATACGAGGCAGTACCTAAATTTGATACAATAGGGCGGAAAGGAATACCACTTTTATGAATTTTGGGAAGAGCATATAATCTGGCACAATTCACAACAGATGGGATAAGCGAATGTTTTAAGTTGCTTGAAATGATTTGCGAAGATTTGATCGCAGTTTTTATTTTGTCGAAGGTGAGTCCGAAGTCCGAAGGTGAAGGATCTTTAGGGATCGGATTATATGGTCCTTCGTTTAAGAGTTTAGTGACACCATCCATGTAAGTGTTCTTATCCATGACGACTATCTGGCCACCTTTGTCGGCCTTTGAAATGATAATATCCGGGTTAGAATGAATTTCGCGCATTGTAGCTCTTTCTCTCGCAGTTAGATTTGCTTTCAAAGGTTTATTATTGAATTTCACATTATGAGCGATAAGATGCCTAATCATTTCTTTCTGTGAATCTGAAACTTTACTGAACTTGAAAGCTTTTTCGATAGGAGCCAAAATCTTTGGAATCGAGGGTTTACAGGTTTGTGAGAAGTTAAAATTATATTTTAGAATTCTCTCTTGTTCTTCTGAAAGACTAACATTAGAAATATTAACTATTGGCTTGATGTTTACAATGGGAAAATTTTTTGAACTACTTGAAATGGAAGACTGTAAAAGAAGTTTTTCGATTTTGGATATGATTCAATCATATCCAAAATTCACTGGCCTTGAGCAAAAGTCTTGGTCTAGAACGGAGAATGCAGTTAACCGTCATAAAAACACCCTTGCAGTTAAATTCGAAAAACTTCTTTTACAGTCTTCCATTTCAAGTAGTTCAAAAAATTTTCCCATTGTAAACATCAAGCCAATAGTTAATATTTCTAATGTTAGTCTTTCAGAAGAACAAGAGAGAATTCTAAAATATAATTTTAACTTCTCACAAACCTGTAAACCCTCGATTCCAAAGATTTTGGCTCCTATCGAAAAAGCTTTCAAGTTCAGTAAAGTTTCAGATTCACAGCAGAAAGAAAATGATTAGGCATCTTATCGCTCATAATGTGAAATTCAATAATAAACCTTTGAAAGCAAATCTAACTGCGAGAGAAAGAGCTACAATGCGCGAAATTCATTCTAACCCGGATATTATCATTTCAAAGGCCGACAAAGGTGGCCAGATAGTCGTCATGGATAAGAACACTTACATGGATGGTGTCACTAAACTCTTAAACGAAGGACCATATAATCCGATCCCTAAAGATCCTTCACCTTCGGACTTCGGACTCACCTTCGGACAAAATAAAAACTGCGATCAAATCTTCGCAAATCATTTCAAGCAACTTAAAACATTCGCTTATCCCATCTGTTGTGAATTGTGCCAGATTATATGCTCTTCCCAAAATTCATAAAAGTGGTATTCCTTTCCGCCCTATTGTATCAAATTTAGGTACTGCCTCGTATCCTTTAGCTAAATATTTAGTTTCTAGATTTTCCACTCTATTAGACAATAACATTTACACCATAAAAAATTCAATAGAGTTTGTAAAAAATGTTAAAAACATTTCTCCTAGTAATTTACTCATGGTTTTCTTTGATGTAAAATCATTATTCACCAATGTCCCAGTGGGGAGGGTGCATTAAGATGTCTAGAAACCAGACTTCGCGAATTTCATTTCTCTTGCATCGAAATTGATGAGCTAATTTCTCTCACTCAACTCTGTTTGAAACAAACACATTTTGTTTTCCAAAATAAATATTACAAGCAAACTGAGGGATTAGCCATGGGAAGCCCCCTCAGTCCCATCCTGGCTGATATCTACATGCATTATTATGAATCAAAATTGTTTGAAACTTTAAACTTCCCGGCATGGCTCCGCTACGTAGACGACCACTTTTACCCTGTTTGTTTGAAGGTAATAAAGATGATTTAAATAAAGTTCTTTCAACAATGAATTCTATTGATCCTGCTATTCAGTTCACTTTTGAACTTGAGACTTGCAATTCTCTTCCGTTTCTCGACATTCTGGTCACACGTAACACATCCAACTTCAGTACTACAGTTTACCGTAAACCTTCATCGGTTTGCCTTCCACCACACTTTAAATCATGTCATCCGACTAAACAAAAGTTAGCTTCATTTTTATTCCTATGTTTTCCGTGCTCTTCAAGTTTGCTCCTTCAAACTATCCCTTGATGAAGAACTAAATTATTTAAAAGCAATAGCTATTGACAGGGGCTTTTCACCCAACATTATTAATCAAGCAGTTAAAAAAATTCTCATCTCAACACACTAAAAGCCACACTCTTATTTTAGGAGATTATAAAAATTCTGTTGTCATTCCCTTCTTTCCATCAATTAGCTATAAAGTTGCACATATTTTGCAGAAATTTAACTTTCGGGTTGTTTTTTTCTCCTATCAATAAAATTCCAAACTTCTATACTCAAGGACCCCATTCCGGATATGAATTCCTGGGGTATTTATAGGATTCCTTGCCAGTGTGGTTTAATTTACATTGGCCAAACTAAGAGAGCCTTAAAATTTCGCGTCAAAGAACATGAGGCATATGTTAGAAAAAAGGAAACACAGAGGTCTTCTGTTGCTCAACATTGTTGGTCCGAAAATCACACTTTCAATTTTTCTGCTGCCAAAATTATTCAAAAAAACATCTTCCATTGGAGAACTGGATTTTCTAGAGGCATTCACATTCATAAAAATCTTTCTGTTCTAGTTAACGATCCTAATTCCAATCCAAATTTGCCTTCGGCTTTTAGAGAAATTATGTTTTAGTTCTGGCTTCGCCAACAGATGGCGCCACTTGCTTATTCTTGTCCAGGCTTTCTTATCTTATCTAATCATTATTTCCTATCTTGTTCATTTGCGGTTTTGCAGCTGAAGATGATGGTTCGGTAAAACCATCGAAACTAGTCCTGTGAAAATTTTGTAGGTATAACGCTGATTTTTGTTGTTTGACTTCTGAATTAGCATCTACTCATATCAACAGCACTTATGTTGATTACAAATTAAAATTACCTTTTCAGTTAAAAATATTATTTAAAATAACGGATTAAACATTCTCTCTCCGAAAAATGAAATGCAGTAAGAATAATCCCCCTGGTGACTGGTCTGCTAGATACATACCAGCGCAGGCGAGCTCTAGTGTAAGAAGAAATGCAAAATTTGGCCGAACGTCTTTATCCTTTAACCCGAAGGTTTGCATTTCATAACCTTATAAAGCGTCCTGTATTTTATTCCATTTCTTTTCTTTAAAATTAAAATCTTTGGTATTCCGTGTAGCCTAAATGTAAAATATTAGTTAGTATGTTAAATTTGAAATCGTTGGTGAATTGGTGGAAATTTTCAAAAATTTTAGAAAATTTCCAGCAGCCAAAAATCAAATTTAATTTCGAAAACATTTTGCTTTTTAACACGTTTAATAAAAGATCATTTTTTGTACTTTTAGGCTATTTAAAGGTAGTAAAATATTTGTTTTCTTCGGTAGTCGACTCTACATGAATTGAGTCCCAAATTTTTATAGACACAATTTATATAGATGCATATTGCATTCATTGAGCAGAATTCGTTTGATTAACATAAGTTTTATTCCTAACCTCCAATTATTGTTTTAATTTCTATGTTAAATAATTAACAATCTGTATGCATGTATGTATATCACTTTTGACGGTCCACCTAGGAGCGGTGGAAAGGTGGCAAAGTTCCCGGGATTAGGGGCGGCTGATGGCCCTTCCACAAAACTGTGGGCGGCCTCCCAACACGGAGGGCATAAGCAATTTCCTGGTGACACATCTTAACATCCCATACACAAAGCAATAATCGGCAGTGGGTCGCCAGCCAAGACCTGCCGGTGCTTGTATTGGATGCTCTTGTCAGGCATTTGGGTTGGTTTATTGGTTTATTAGATAACGGCAAAGCACTCGAGGGCTATCTGCCTTAAGGAAGGGATGCCTTCGTGGAGGAATTTTTAAGGGAAACTGGCTCGTATACACGTTACACATGGGGAAAACCACGAAAACACCCATGCAGCCAGCCCGTTCACGGGATGCGAACCTCGGACCGAACTACCAGTGTTCAGCGACGTTACCGCTCGGCCGCTGGTGGGCCAGGCATTTGGAAGCGAGCTTTGTAGTCGGTGATATGACTACTGATGCCTTGAAACCGGATAATTCTAAACCTAAGTATGTATGTATGTATGTATATTCCTCGTAGTGTGGGAAAACTACGGCACCTTGATCCACCAAATTTCCCACACACCTGGTGTGTCACTTGAACATATGCATCTCGAAACCTGGATATGAAAGTTAGAATTTATTTTTAAATGTATTTTGTGTACTAAATTAATGAAATTCTGTTAAACAAACCCTGCCATTTAAAAGCAATGTGTTGCCACTAAGCAAACCGTAAGATATTAATGTTTCAAATTTAATCAGAAAACTCAGCCATTTAAAAAAAAATGTGGTGCCATTCATCATAATGTGAGATATTTGTCTTTGGAATTAATTCAACACATTCATCGGTTTAAAAGAAAACTGTTGCCACTTTCCGAACTATTCGAGATTATAAATAACACGTTTTCACGCCTAAACTGTTGTTAACACAACTTGCATTTTTCAGCTACTGTTCCCATTTATTTCATTCTTAAAAATTTGAAAACAGTGATACATAAACACATCTTTAATACCTTCTACTTGTGTCAATTGAATATATTAAGATATTAAATGGAATGTCTTCAAATGCATTATTGAAAGTTTTTTTACAAATTTAAGTATCAAAAAACAGCTACAAAATGTACATCACCTTACCCTTTTTAAGATCTTCTTGGGAAGTAAACTTTTTACCATATTATAGAAAATGTCGAAAAAATATGGTATATTCACAACATGAATACTTCTGATTCGACCGGGAAAGCATCTCTGAAATCATACAAATATGGAAATTAAAAAACATTAACCTGAATAAAATCATCTAGAAATAAATTATAAATACAACTGTTTCCGAAATGTTTCTAGGAATCGATAGAATTGCTCGTAAAATCAGAAATGAACTTAGGATAATTATAGCATTTAGGTACATAATTAATCACTAATATTTGTGATCTTTAACTCATGAAAATTACAATACTTGTGAACTTAACAATATTTCTGAACTGAAAGTGCTTGTGAATATCCGAATTTTTAATGTTTTTAGCACGAGAATAGAATGATTGATTCAACATTTCACAGATTCAGAAAATAACAGCTTTATCGGAAGTTATATCAGATTCTGAATGTCAACACGGAAGTTTCTTTAGAGATATAACGAAGACATCTTGCAAGAAAGAAAAAAAAAAAAAAAAAAAAAAGAGAATTTCATTAGATCTTAAAGTATACACGATTTTTTTGCATTTCTATTAATAATCAATAGATGTGAAAGTGTAATGACATTGTACATGAAACCATGCAAATAAAACAGTAATTAAAAATTTCGAAGTTAATTGAAGACATAATTTTTGTGACAGAAATTTCTTTGAACGTAACGCAGTTAGGCTTAGCTTTGAATGCAAAACTGAATTTTCTAAAGGCAGCTGAGAACAACTTCTAAATCTATGCCTTTATACATATCACTTAGTGACCAAAATATTAGAGACACCTTCTAATAACTCATTGATCCACATATAGACTTGATCGTAGCCGATGTTATTATGGGCATGTATTCAACAAAATATTGATATCGTTTCTGGAATTTAAGAGTGTGCTTACATAACGGGAGCTGTAATTTTTTACTTCCTTGTACGAAGTAAAAAGGAAGTATTGTAATTGCGAAACGTTTCAGGCAGCATATTTCAACGAAAATATCCACTTTGACCGCTATCGAATGCAATTTAGCGATGTTTTTGCGTGATATCTGTACGTAAGGACAGAATAAAAGACTCTTTTCCTCCAAAAGAATTATAAAGCTGCTTTAAAACGAAGTCTGAAGAAAATTTTTCATGGCGTCTGTACGAACGTATGTACGTACGAACGTATCTCGCATAACTCAAACACGAGTAGCCTCACAACGTTGAAATTTTGTATATAGGACTGCTATAACATGTAAATGTGCACCTCGTATTTTGGTTGCAATCGGCTGCACGAAACTTATATTTATATATATATATCCATTCTCTTACTCTGCTCAGTGATCTCATTTTCTTTACTATTATATGTTTGTAAATTGTACATTTTTTTGCTTTAAAATTGATTGAACTATGTTGTTATTATCTTCCGGTTAAGGTTTTTATGCCTTTAGTAAATCTGTATGCAATATTTTTAGAATTATCAACAATTTTAAAGTTGTTTAACTGCCGCTAAGCCTAATAATTTTTTTCATGGCGGCCATTGCTTGTTTACATTTGAAACAGCAGAATAGTGGATTTGTTGCCAATCTAGAGAAACTTAGCTTCGCAACAAGAAAGGTAACGCCTTCATTTATTATTGCGAATTAAATCATGCTTAATCCTTTCTGGAATTTTTTCGAGGAAATATGTATTTAAGATATACTTCGTAATTTTTAATATAGATATTTAGAGTTTTTATGTATTTTTGGCTGGTCGCGAAGTGAGAACTGAATTAATTGAATGAGAAATACTCAATCGTCTGTGAAAAACTGTTTCTTTTTTGTTTTGTTTGCTTAATTTCTTTTATACATCGTTCTGTCTTTCTATCTTTATTAGGGTATTTGAATAGAACATGTGGCAACGATTAGATAATTCTTTAAATGATATAAATTTTGTTCATTCTGAGTTATAATATGAACATCTTCTTTTTGATACAAAAGTGAAAGACCTAAGGCATACTTGATCTATTGGTGATAACTCACAGTAGTTGGTACCAAATGAAGGTAAAGGTTATAATATGAAAGAAATATAATACTATTAAGTGAACCTAGCGTCAGAGTGTCGCTGTGGTTAACAAATAGAATGAATTTTAAAGAAGACATTTATTCTGTTGTGGTTTATGCCCTATCGGCGAAGTAGATTTAATTCAATCCAATAAGTTTAAATGAAATGCAAGAAAAAATGCGTATAATTTAAAATTCCGTACAAGGAAGTCATGTGGTGTACACATCAGATTATTTTAGATTCGATAATACTTAAAGAGATTATTTTTTTATTTCGTGTCACTTTCCATGTTCTGTAAGAAGTACTGAATAGGATTGAAGTCAGAGGACAAAGCTGTCCAGAGTAATTTAAATTCTTCAAATTAATATGAGATAAAGCGTGACAGGTGGCATACTGAAAGTGAACATCTGCATCAGGGAATATCGAAGAATCAGGGAATCTGGTGTACATGATTAGATAATGGTATTGATATACACTCTGCACACACACAAAAAGGGACAGTTCTATATCTTCCGTTCTAGAGGGCTGCTTAATGAAACCTTGATTTGCTTTTTCATGTCTCAAAAGCGCGAATTGTGATACATATTAGATTTGTATGTATTATATATAAATTTTATATATTTTATAATTTTATATACACAGGTATTTTGGCACAAAATCGGACTAATCTAAAAGGACATACCGATTTTTATACATGTTTCGATTCTACAACTCAACAAACTAATATTAATTTTTTTAGGCTTAATTTGAGTTGGTTAATCTCAAATTTCGTGAGAAACGTACCGAGAAATTTAACACTTATCTACAAGAACTTTATCTAGTTTGTGACAAGAATAATTGACTTGGCAAAATTCTAAATTAATAGTGACCTATTTTCCCTTCCCTTTTTCATTGTACATGAGCCAGGACTTAGAAGAGACCCTAGTACTAGAGGATAAAAAGGTCCATCTTTGAAATAATTTTAACAAAGTGCTTAAATCACATTTAGCGTTATTATCGGTTTTTACAAACAGACCAAATTTCAAAACGCGCCAGTATATAAATTCACGTATATCTTTGGAAATTCTGAATAAATATCTCATGCCTAGAAATACATCTACTTTAAGGTTATGGTAAAACTTTATAATGCTCTCGAAGCATTTATGAAAATTACTAAAAATATAAATTTAAAAAATAAATCAGAAAATATCTGCGAATTTTTTTGGATTGAAAATAAATTTTGAATTGTGACAGAATGAATCAAATAAGTTTAATAAAGAAAAAGATATTAACAAATATATATCATATTCAATTAACATTGAGAAGTTAAAATTTTTAGAGCCAATTTTTTAAAAACTACTCGTGCCATTTTTACGGAACTTGGCTCTTTGGTATAATTTGTGCCGTAGAATCGAAATACGAAAAAATAGTTATATCATTTCCGAAATAGTCCCATGTGATATCAGAAAAATACCCATGTTAATTTGTTGTTACCATTGTTTGTGTTCGTTGTTCGCGGGTTTTTTGTTTTTGTTTTTGTTTGTTGTTGTTGTTTGTTTGTTTTTGTTTTTGATGTCTACTCTTGTCTAAATGTTTGTATTTGTTCTTTTTCTTCACTTTCATGTTTATAATTATTACTAACACATGATTATTTTCATTTAGCCATTTTATGTTTCATTTTCTCCTTTGTTGAAATGGGCGGGGCCTGTCATGACCATAAGACCAACTTGTTTGGTTAAACGGGTCGGGCTGCGCCCATTACTGATACCTATGTTAGAACAATGCAATATATAAGTATAATATATATCCTAAGTCGCGCTTTCGAGACATTGATAGATATCTATCTATATGTATATATCTCTCTATCTATATCTATATATATATGGCCAGTGGCGCAGTGGCTAGCACATCGTGCAGCAGCACCACAGTTCCGGGGCTCGATCCCCGGGATGGACAAGGTCGACTCAGCTTTTCATCACTTGGGTCGATAAAATGAGTACTAAGTTCGCTTGGGGACTAAACACTGGGGGTCCTGCAACAAGCTGACCACTTGTTCAGGGCATATGCTTACGCACCCCGGGGCCCATGGTGAAGAAAACAGTTTTCAGATAGCACTGCTGCAAAGAACGTCTATGTAAAGAAGGAAAGGCTTCATAGACGTAATGTAAACCAGTTTGCCTTCTACGCCGCTAGAAAGAAGAGGGAAAATTCGCCAAGGGGTTTGGCGACGGAACCTGTTGGCGAAAATTTCCCCCTTTGTGATGTACCGGAACTGGGCGAATTTTCCTCCTCCGCGACGTGTACAAGAAATTGAGGAACACGGGTTAAGATGAATAAGAAAATTAGGTGAAGTTTCACTTTCACTGGCTGTTGAACTTGCATTATCCATATCGCAGTTTGATGTCTGTTTTTATATCCGTCAATATGGAGGGGAAGAAATGGAGTCACGCAGCTTTAAACTCTTGATAAACGTGACCGTCGAACCTGTTCGAACTTCGACCTCAGCTTCGAGCTTTGGCGCTTTTTGGCGACAGATGTTTCACGCATGCGCAGCTGTTTCCCTTTTCGTTCGAAGGGAGCCACTCCTGCTTAGGAGAAGTTTTCCTTCTTAACAATACATATTCTTCGACTGATTGTCTTGGCCCACTAAGGCTGTTGCGCCACTGAGTTTAGTCATATTTATGCAATGTCTTTCGTCAGATCGAAAATTTTGTTGAATTTGTGTTTTATAAACCAGTTACAGCTATTTGAAGCTGTGAAACTTGTCATGCTATTCAGTTCGCTAAATGCAGCAACTGTAAAACAGTTTAGTGTTTTGAATATTTTTATTGCATCTAGTAGTATTGGCCCCACTGCGGAGGCGGAAGTGACGTCACAGTGAAAGTAGAAGTGTTACTTAATGTAAGAAGTTACTTAATGTGCGATGACCATATTTATTATCATGTAAAATTCATTTCTGTCACCCGAAAATGACTACAATATGAGACATGTACTCGCAATAAAATGATTTCGAAAATTTCTTGCATTTTGATTTAATGTTTTAAAGATAAATTTTCAACTAGTCTGTTTAATTTT